TGGCCTAATACCTGACCATTGTGGAGGGCCTTGTTATTATCATATACGAGATAGCTATGTGATAAATCGCAAAGAGTAATGAAGAATGAAGCGTGTTTTATTTCGGGGTTAAACACTGTTCTATCATGATGTCATTTCTGGAGATTCGAATAAGGCAGGCGAACTTGATGACGTCGTATTTTGGAGGAGGTTAATTTTGACAGGGGAGTGTCTTGAGAGTTGTTCCCCATAAATGTAGCTGGGGTAAGCAGATAAATGCAATGGCCAAACAAACGCATTCAAAAGTGGGAGAGATATGACAATCGGAAAGGTACATATACCAGTACTCGATGTGAGGATTGTGAGAATATGCAGGAAATAACAGACTTAACCCACCTGTTCATAAAATGGACTTGTCCCACATAGCCAAGGTTGGATTCTATTCAGGGGGTCATCATTATTATTATATTAAGGTGAACTATTTGTAAAGCTTGTACATTTTAACAACATCCTCAAAAAGAAGCTGTGTATAATGTTGCTATCGCATATAAGAAATAAACAACATGTGGTCATTGTTTATCGTACAATAAAACACTGCAGAGAATAAACCTTGAGGGGTGTTTTATTGTACTCCCACTAGTTGTTTATTTCTTAAATAGTTGGTGAGTGAATAGACCTTAATAAGGCCAGGCTTTTTTTTATTTTTAGGATTACAGATTTTTCAGCCCAAAGACCAGGGTTGGAGGAGGGAAAAGAAAAAAGCAAAAAACAAGCCAGATGCATTTTTTTAATGCAGAATGCCTCTGGCCTACTTTATGAACATATTCTGTGCTCAAAAGGCAGCCATTTGTGACGATAAAGCCCCTTTGTAACAATAAAAATTCGACCACTTACAACACAGACAATTATCAAGGGAGGCTATTCATGTTCGGCTTCGAGATCAACAAAGATCGATTATGTATCTCTTTACTAGTTTACAACGGTAAATTCATATGTTTTTTTATTAAAAGGTGATGATAACAAATAAAATAACTGACTACGCGGCTATCAGGGGGGATGGAAATCTGATATTTTCTTTTTTACATTTTCTAAAAAATTAGAGTTAGTGGGTCTGTAATCCGAAAAATATAATACACCTGGCCTAAGGAACAAGATTGGTTGTTTATTCCAGCCATATGATGACAGTCTGTAACTAATGAATTTAAAGTATCAGTGTCCCAGTCTTTGTTTGTTGTTTAACAGCACACTCGGCAATATTCCAGTCATATGACAGCAGTCAGTAAATAATCACGTCTGGATTAAACAATCCAGTGACTGACATCATGAGCATCGATCCCAGCAATTGGGATACAATATCATGCATCAACTTCAGCATGACCTGGCGTCTATACAGTGAGGAGGACCAAATGACTAGAAGAGCTTGAGAATTATTTTGTTTATTATTATTATTAATAATGCATCAGCAATATTCCAGCTAACTCACAGCAAACTGTAACTAATCAAGTCTGGACCAGGCAAATAAGAGATTGATGTCACGTCACCTGCAATAAGCCACGATGATACACAATCAGCCAAGTCAGAGAGCCTGACTGCACAATCCATTCAGTCACCATTTACATACATTACCGGGGACCTATTCTAACCAAGAACCCCACCAGGGCCTGGGTATCAGCCTGCCCCTGTCTAAACTACCCTATGCTTATTGTGAAAGTAGATTAAACTGCGGATCAGACATATACAAAGCCATGAGTAGCAGTTTCCTGCCCCCCATGACTTCCCCATGTCACACTAACCCTGGGTCAGTCTGTGAGACCCCCCTCCCCTTATCCCCACCATCCATCTGACACAATTACCACAGTTGATAGAATGGCGGTGTGGAAAGACAAATGCTTATCTGGAGGAAATTGGCATGAAACAGGAAAGAACCCATTTTGTCCGTACAGTAAAATGCCACGTTTAAAGTTAGTCATTATCCTTGCACATCATTTCAAGAAATTATAGCATCTCTTTTAGACATCAGCACAATTACATTGACAGGTGGTGTGCATAATTTCTTCATTAACTGCAAGGTTTTGTCAAATGCATTTCAGTGACATTTACAGCAGCTACAACAGCAATGCGATAAACTGATGATGGGACTCTGGAACAGCAGGATCACACTGATGCTGCATGACCGCAGGCTACTGTCTATGTCAACACTGAAGGATGGACCAGTTCTTGTACAGTACTAGAAGGTGGTCCTGTTCTTGTACAGTACTAGAAGGTGGTCCTGTTCTTGTACAGTACTAGAAGGTGGTCCTGTTCTTGTACAGTACTAGAAGGTGGTCCTGTTCTTGTACAGTACTAGAAGGTGGTCCTGTTCTTGTGCAGTGCTAGAAGGTTGTCAAGTTCTTGTACAGCACTAGAAGGTGGTCCTGTTCTTGTACAGTACTAGAAGGTGGTCCTTTTTCTTGTACAGCACTAGAAGGTGGTCCTGTTCTTGTACAGCACTAGAAGGTGGTCCTGTTCTTGTACAGTACTAGAAGGTGGTCCTGTTCTTGTACAGTACTAGAAGGGGGTCCTGTTCTTGTACAGCACTAGAAGGTGGTCCTGTTCTTGTACAGTGCTAGAAGGTGGTCCTGTTCTTGTACAGTACTAGAAGGTGGTCCTGTTCTTGTACAGTACTAAAAGATGGACCTGTTCTTGTACAGTACTAGAAGGTGTTCCAGTTCTTGTACATGGCTAGAAGATGGTCCAGTTCTTGTACATAACTAGAAGATTGACCAGTTCTTGTACGTAACTAGAAGATGGACCAGTTCTTGTACATGCTAAAAGATGGACCAGTTCTTGTACATTGCTAAAAGATGGACCAGTCCTTGTAAATTGCTAGAAGATGGTCCAGTTCTTGTACATAACTAGAAGATGGACCAGTTCTTGTACATTGCTAGAAGATGGACCAGTCCTTGTACATTGCTAGAAGATGGTCCAGTTCTTGTACATTGCTAGAAGATGGTCCAGTTCTTGTACATTGCTAGAAGATGAATCAGTTCTTGTACATAACTAGAAGATGGATAAGTTCTTGTACATAACTAGAAGATGGACCAGTTCTTGTACATTGCTAAAAGATGGACCAGTCCTTGTACATTGCTAGAAGATGGTCCAGTTCTTGTACATTGCTAGAAGATGGACCAGTTCTTGTACATTGCTAGAAGATGGCCAGTTCTTGTACATAACTAGAAGATGGATCAGTTCTTGTACATAACTAGAAGATGGACCAGTTCTTGTACATTGCTAAAAGATGGACCAGTCCTTGTACATTGCTAGAAGATCGTCCAGTTCTTGTACATAACTAGAAGATGGACCAGTCCTTGTACATTGCTAGAAGATGGACCAGTTCTTGTACATTGCAGGAAGATGGTCCAGTTCTTGTACATTGCTAGAAGATGGTCCAGTTCTTGTACATAACTAGAAGATGGACCAGTTTGTGTACATTACAAAGAGATAGACCAGCAGTGGTTAAGAGCATGAGTAGCAGTTTGACACAGTAGTTTCCAAAACAGCAGAACATTGCCATCCCTGTATAACACTAAGTTCATACAAATGGGTACTGTTCCCACAACATTGTCACCTGTAACAACCACTGCAGATTGCCCACACTGGGTTAACACTTGTATCCATGTACACTTCTATCCAAGTAGACCCGTGAAGATCCAGGGTAGAATAGGTCTTCAGCAATCCATGTTTGCCGTAAAAGGCGACTATGCTTGTCGTAAGAGGTGACTAACGGGATTGGGTGGTCGGGCTCGCTGACTTGGTTGAAGCATGTCATCAATCCCAATTGCGTGGATTGATGCTCATGATATCAATCACTGGATTGTCTGGTTCAGACTTAATTATTTACAGATCACCGTCATATAGCTGGAATATTGCTGAGTGCGGCATTAAACAACAAACCAATCTATCCAAGTAGGAGCTACAGCCCATTGTGCTGCACAAGAAGACTAGACACAACACTTGATCTCAGCCAGCCTTGACTTCAACTATACACAACAATGGTGGAGTGAGTGAGTTGGGTTTAACGCCGCTTTGAACAGTATTCCAGTTATATCACAGCGTGTCAGTTCAATGTGGGAGGAAAGCCTGAAGTGATGCATGTCATAGATGTTTACCACTTCAGTGAACCCAAATACAAGGTCATGGTGCAGAGAAACCAGAATAAAAATATTCATAGGATTCTGGCATGCATAAGGGATGTAACTCTGCATGGCAAATTGCAGCTTCTTAAATGACCTCGCCCTCTGTTGAACATGAGGGATGCTGTTGTTTAATAGGACAGTTTCAATCTGAACATGTCAAAAATGAAGTTTTGAAATATGTCCCCTGTGCATGAATGGATGATGGGGTGAGGGGATATCAGTTCCTCCTTCCACAAAGTGATCTTAGTACTAAGACTAGCATAACATATACTTATGACAGTGGTAGTGCTAAGATCACTTTGTCTTGTAGTAGGGGGAGAACAGGAGACAGGCTAATACTGATCATACCAGAAAGAGTACTGAAACCACAGAATACCCTACATAGGTTAAAATGTTGTACTCCATAAGTGAATCAAACCCAGTCCTTGTAAGCTACAAGTGATCCCACTTCCCACTAGGCTACCATCCCTGACTGCCACATAGTAAAGTAAGTGTGTTTCACATGTATGTTGTTTCATAGAGTATGTTCCCACGTACTGGATTGAGGCGTGACATGGTTCATTTGATACTGCACAACATTACTGGAATACTGGTACATTGAATACGCTTTTCAAACATTTATAACACGTTTCGTTATTACTGTATTCGACGTAATAAGTGCCCCGGGCTCTCTCAAAGTTAGAAATAGGGGACTCTTATTAGCATATAATTTTGGTGACAAAAAAAACAGAGTTGAAAGATTGTAAATTTCGTGGTTTAACAGTGCGTATTATACACGACAGATATATTTTCCAGAATTTAATTGCCCATAATTAAGGGTGCATATAACACACGACTGTGTATTATACACAAATAAATAAGTCTTGTGTACATTGATCAGTTGGAAGGGGTGATAATTGGGATTGTTCACTAGCCAGTATATTAGCAAATATCACTGTAGGCGCTTATTACATCGAATACGGTATTTGTATTGTTTAACCTAAAATCTACATAAAAATGAATTAACAAATGATGTTTCCCTTCGAAATTGATTAACAAAACAGTGGAAACACTAGTCGATTTTTCTCTCGCATTAGCCGACTGACCGTGACTTTGACATTGTAATATTTACTTTCGTATGTAGAAAATAGGATCTGCATGTACAATCTATGTCAAACACTGTCAAACACTTTAGATCCCAGTGTATCGCAATATGTATCGCAATACAGATATCTGTATCAATACATTGCAATACCATTTGTTTACAAATACATAGCCCTGATTCATACGTGATATTTGACCTGGATTTCCACTGAATGGTACTGTATGTACTGATATCATGCTCTGACATCATATTGTGTCCACACATATTCCACTGAATCAAAGATCAACAACACCGCAGCTTGTCCATCTTCCCTAGGTAAGGGAGTCCACTGACTAAAACATGCCAGGCTCAACCCTGGAATTATGGAGTTCTATTTAGGCTGGACTAGCGAGTCTATGGATTGTCCAATCAAAATCGCGTAATAAAATCAACATGAACTGCCGTGTAGATTTCAGTCGATGGCAGGATTTGCAAAACATATGTACCGACATCTTAGCAGATATTTTCCAAATCTTTTCATGTTTTTTATCAAGGTGCTTATATGACTTGATACAGTTCACAAAGAAAGAGCAGTTTTATTACAATGTAGATCTTGATTATGGATCAGATTATCTTAAATGGGCAATGCCATTTTATTTGAAGCAAATGCTAGTGTTATGAGAGGTGGATTCTGATTGGTCAATAGAAGGGGCATAGAAGGGACATAACTCGTAATAGACACTGGTGGCGCTTTGATCGAACCCAGACATTCTAGGCTAGTTCGGCATGGGTGGAAACTGGGCTTTTACAGTCAGTTAACTCCCTTGTCTCGGGAAGATGGATCTTTCATGGAAGAGACCGAAAAATACTCTTGTGATGCAATCCGAGATGTACACAACCAACCAGCTAGGACAAGAGTCCTGATTCAGTGCATCACAAATGACATCATGGCACCATATTGTGCCATATTGACTTATATTGTGTGTGTAGTCTGATTGGTTCACTTGAGATCTGGCGGCAACGTCTTTGGGTCTTTGCAACAGAAGTAGTGGACGATCAGGCCATTTGGGTAGCGAGCGAAGGCACTGAAACAAACATGACTTTCTGTGATATTCATGACCTTACATGATTGTACCTGCAGACATGATCAACAAGGGGGATAACTCTGTTGTCTCCATGACCATCCCAGTTCATTAAAGAAAAATGAATAGCGTGTGACTGGGTGAGGTGAGGTGAAATTGGGTTTAACGTTGCATTCAAAGATTTCTGCACTTAAATAGAAACATATAGTTATACAGTAACATCTTTAAACTTCCTTTGGTATGACACGGGATCGAACCCCAATCTCATTAAAATCAGATCTTGGTTCTGGCTACTTCTAAACAAAGATCTGAGGAGATCCTATTAGGTCAGAACGACCTTTCATCCGACCAATCAGAGCGTTGCTTACCATATCATGGAAGTGACAGTTGGAATGTGATTTCTAATCATGCAACCGCGAAAACTTAAACATTGGGTAGTTCAAACGATAGTTACGGGCTTAACGGCTGAATCCATACAATCTAAATTACTCACGGAAATGAAAAAACCCTGTTTTTTCGATCTCAGATTTTAAAAAAATGCAGTTAATATACAAAATATGTAAATATTCAAACAACTCAATTAGTACTAATTGGGCCTTGGCACAAATACAGCGTATCAAAGGTTTTTATGTCTTTTTACACGTAAAAGTGTGTAAAAATATGAACAAAACAGACTATTGTGAAACTGAGCATAACTAGGTGTTAGTAGATCAAGGTGAATGTCCATGACCCATGACACCTTGACGACAGGTGAAAACAGGTGCTTGAAACCAACGTGCATGTGATTTGTCAGTGGTTAGTGATTTTTGAGTGGAATCATCGTCAAAATATCAGTATGTAAAAGTAACATATTCCCTTCTCAAACAACAACTTACATGTCATTAATATTAAGTACATAAACATAGCTGTTATTTTTATTGTTGTTTTGATAAATTTTTTCCAGGCTAATTTGCATAATGCCTATAGCCTGTTTCTGCCATGTCAATTTTGACATAGTTTTATTTTTGAATGTTGAAAGTGCCTACAAATTACCTCCTGTAAAGTACATTTTGTATTGAGCACTGGATAAAACTAGCAAATCCAGACTTGTACTTTTCCAGTTGTTTTGTTATTTCGTATTTACATCTTCGTAATGCTTTGTGTCAATTATTAAATCCAGCAAAACAGTTTTTTTTAATTTCATGAGTACTTTAGGCCATCTATCACCATTCCAGACTGTTCTTTTGTTCAGGTTTCAAATTTTTAATCAAGAATTTGTCAAAATATGTTTCAAAGCATAGTCACCAATTTGAAATTCTGATTGGCAAATGTCAACTTCTTGTCAGTCATTCCACTGGTCGGTCAAAGTTCGCGCAAGGTCGGTCTGACGTGACTTGTAATGGGGTGTTCTCAGATCTTTGTTTAGGGGTAGCGAGAACTAAGATTTAATTTAAGATTGGATCGAACCCATGACTCTCCGTCTCCGGGCCACCAGACCACAGAGGCGGTTGTGTTTCACTGGGCTTTCAAGCCATCTGAGCACTGTCTTCATTTCCAAAATGACTAAATGAATGTTCCTAAAACAATTCATATTGAAGAAACATCCAAACTAACATGGAGTGTTTGAATGGGGTTTCAGTTTACATCCACCCTTTTTCAACATAGAAAGACCGCCTCTGTGGTCTAGTGGTAGAGCGTCCGCCCAGAGAGCGGAAGGTCCAGGGTTCGATCCCCCGCCTTGTCATACCAAAAGACGTTGAAAGATGGTACTTGTTGTTACTCTGTCTGGCGCTCGGCATTAAGGGGCTAAAACAAGGACTGGTCGGCTCGGAGTCAGTATAATGTGTCTGAATGGGGTATTCATGTTAAACTGCAGCATGGTATCTCAGTGTGCTAGCACTATAAATCGGCATCAGTCCGGACAAGTACAAGCAGCCACACACACACACGCTATATAAGTGCAATAATCTTGGACGCGACGTTAAACCCCATTTCACCTCACCTCACCTTCAACATAAAAACTAGATGACAGCAGCTTGTCTAACCAGAATCTAGAACCAGAGTCTAAATCAGGTGTTTCGGTGTGAGCACTATGACTATTTGAAGTCAATCTATAAGTGTTGCTTTGTGTAAGTGGGCCCATGCAATCAACATACCGGTATAACACACTATATCAGACACTGCTGAGAGTAAGCCCCCCAAACCTCGAGGAGGTGAGGAGAAATGGAGTTAAACAACGCATTCAAGATTATTGCACTTGTGTGTGTGGCTGCTTGTGAGTGAGTGTGGTTTTACACCGCTTTTAGCAATATTCCAGCAAAATAATGGCGTGGACACCAGAAATGGGCTTCACACATTGTACCCATGTCGGGAATCGAACCAGGTCCTTGGAGTGACGAGCGAACACTTAAACCACTAGGCTACCCGACCGCCCATGTTACTGCTTGTACTACTCCAGGCTTAAGTAAGTCTTATAGCACAAGCCCACTGAGATACAGCTTAACATGGATAACCCACTCAGACTCAGTATACTGACACCAAGCTGACCAGTCCTTGTTTTATCCCCTCAATGCGCCAGGCAGGGTAACAACAAGCATGTGTGGAGCAGACATCTGGGCAAATCTTGGAATCAAACCACAATCAGCCTATTCTGGCATGGCTGTGGGACATAAATCCTCTCAAACCAATGAACGAGTCTTACCTGTCTCCAATCCTCCTCCTACAAACGCGACATGTTTTCTCATCATTGATGATGACCTTGACCTTCTGGTAGTACATACGCTGTTCTTGGACCTGCAAACACAAGACACACTCACAGTGAGAATAACAAAAATCTCAAATGACACTTTCAATCTGCGCAACAAAGGTCACCCGACAGGTGAAATTCAATATCAATGCAAATCCCCATTTTTTATTTCTCAAGTGAACAGGATTTTTAGCTGTAAAATAACAAGCTCTGCTGTTCCTGATAAGATACTGTCATATTGATTTGACATTTGAGTTTTAATACAACAGCTAACAGTCAAATTTTATCTGGTACAGAACCAGATCAAGAGTTTGAATATTGAAATACATATTTCAAATACATAGTCCTCAAGGCTTCTCACAACTTGACACATTTATGATCACATATTTAAGGGGGGGGGGGGGGGGGGGGGGGGGAGAGATAGTTTCTTAGATAAATTAAATTAAATTTTGTCCTCAGATTGTACAAAAAAGATAAATCATTCTCTGAACACATGTTCTGAGTAAATTATGTGTGGCTTGGCCTTTCAGAGAATTTGTTTGTTTGTCCCGTAACCAAAAACTGTCTCAAACAAAAATATGTCCTATACTTTAATTTCAAATGGAATAAACTTCATGATACCTTTTTGGGGTAAAATTGCTCTTTTTCACTGGAACACAATTTACATGATTTCTAAAATAATTCTTTGACGTTAAATGTCAGTAAATTACAGTAAACACACCAGTACATGACCTGACTGAATATGTATGTCATGTAATAAAGCTTAAATATCATTTTCTAAATGAGCAGATTATTAAACCATTTATGAAATGATACAAATTGGTACAGGATGAATACCATGGTATATCAAATCACTGAGTTGAACATGACGATGTACCAGTACATCAGTACATTAGTGCTCAGTACATCAGTAGGTTAGTGGACCGCCTTCGTGGTCTAGTGGTAGAGCATCCACCTGGAGAGTGGAAGGTTCGGGGTTCAAAACCCCGGCCACGTCATGCCAGAAGTCATTAAAAAATGGTACTTCTTGTTACCCTGTCTGGCGCTCAGCATTAAGGGGCAAAAACAAGGACTGGTCGGCTCGGAGTCAGTATACTGTGTCTGAGTGGGGTATTTATGTTAAACTGTGCCATGGTATCTCATCACTATAAGAAGTCATTTAAAAATGTTTTAAAACCAAATTATCTACACATCTACGAATAAAAACTTAACAACCAATTAAATAACCTCCCCCTAAGACGATAAATGATGAAGCTGTTGGATTTTTAAAATAGAAAGTTATATCTGTCACCGATCATCCAGGAAATCCCTGTGTGCAGTGAATGATGTGCAACAGATCGCTTCAAGCCGTAATGTCGACAGAGCCCAATGACCTAATGATTTATTCACTGCTGTATGCTATAATGAAATTTAGCTTTGTTAATAATTCAATAATATTTCCATAACTTCAAATTAATAACAGCCTCCGAAACTGGCACTGGTCCGATAGCTAAAAGCAAATGTTCAAGGTTATATGTATAGTTGCTGTTTAAAGTACCGGTACAAAAGGAAAAGTGTAAATTTCGGAATTTTGAAAAGTTTATCTGAATACATACCTATAGCAACTATTAGGTGAGTGACTTTAAAAGGCGGTTTTCTGAACCGTATGATAGGCATTACTTAAAGGTTGACAGATGACAATGTAGACACAATTTATGGCTGACAACTTCTTTATTTACTGTAATAGCGACGTTACTGTATAGATCCTTCTACCATTGTCAAGCAGGGACAGTTAACTATCATTGCCCTTGAACCTACGTTCATTATCAGAAAAAATTAACTTTTCTTTTTCGAAATTTGAAAATAAAACTCACTGCTCTTTCCCACATGAATTAAACAATGAGACACATGTGACAGAACCTTTAAATATCAGGAACAGCAAATGATGTCTCCTGAAAGATCATTTTACTGATTAGTCTAAACATGAGTCCATAAATGGTCCATTTATCCCCTAAAAGCCAATATGATTAGGCTACCCATCGTCCTACTGATGCTTCCAGACAATGTTGACAGTCAGTACAGAGGGATCTGTACTCTGCAATCCCTTTTACCGGACACAGCCAGTTGGGATTGACCTCTGGCTTTTACTGACTGGTCCAGCATCCAGTCCACTCACAACTGACCATGTGGTCTCGATATCAGCACATTTTTGTATTGATACACTACGAATAACACATCAAGGGCTCTGGGCAATTATTGCCACTGATGCCTCATCCCTCCCGAGGAAACAGTCAATCGAGGACGGAAATATCAAACTGTTATGATGGCATCATAATCTCGCTTGGAGGCCATTATCGATATTTCGGATGAATTAGGATCTGATATGTAGTACATGAAGCAGTGTGGCTGAAGCCTCGTTTATGCGGGTTTCATTCAATTACATTGATGAGATAGCGGTAGTAAATTACAGAGGTTAGAGGGGTATCTGGGAAAGGTATCTTGCTGATGATAACAGGGTTTGAAGTCATATGGCCTCCCACACAGTCATGTAGAACAGATCCCTTCTGGAGAATACCTCAATTATTTCATTTAAACTTAAAACAAGTGCAAAAGTGAGCATGGCTCACTAATACCCCCGACCCGCCTAGTGTGTCAGTAGTTACAAATGAAATAGCAAGGATAGGGTTAGGGTTTGAAAAATTCATAAAAAAATGGAAAGTTAATAAAAACAATTTTTTTCTTTTGACTGCACCCTTCCATATGACACAGATTATATGTACTAAGTTTGAGATGAATCCACTGAAAAGTTTAAGAGAAATCGCGCGGACAAAGTTTTCAGACGGACGTTAGGGTTTGAAAAATTCATTTAAAAAAATAAAAATTAATAAAAACAGTTTTTTTCTTTTGACTGCACCCCTCTATATGACACAGATTATATGTACTAAGTTTGAGATGAATCCACTGAAAAGTTTAAGAGAAATCGCGCGGACAAAGTTTTCAGACGGACGTTAGGGTTTGAAAAATTCATTTAAAAAAATAAATATTAATAAAAACAGTTTTTTTCTTTTGACTGCACCCCTCCATATGACACAGATTATATGTACTAAGTTTGAGATGAATCCACTGAAAAGTTTAAGAGAAATCGCGCGGACAAAGTTTTCAGACGGACGTTAGGGTTTGAAAAATTCATTTAAAAAAATAAAAATTAATAAAAACAGTTTTTTTCTTTTGACTGCACCCCTCCATATGACACAGATTATATGTACTAAGTTTGAGATGAATCCCCTGAAAAGTTTAAGAGAAATCGCGTGGACAAAGTTTTCAGACGGACAGACCTTGGTATAACTATATACCCCCGACATTTTGTCGGGGGTATAAAAATATGTCACCAACCTTTTTGTATTATGAAGGTGTTCAAGTAAATTATTGGGAGAAATACATAAGCGATATTTTTAATATGTCATCATTTCAGGGATGGATGACATGCATCAACCAAGTCAGCAAGTCTGACCACCCGATCCCTTTAATCGCCTCTTATGACAGGCATAGTCGCCTTTTACAGCAAGCATAGGTTGCTGAAGACCTATTCTACCCCGGATCTTTACGAGTCCCTTCAAAGTGGAACCCTAACCTCTGGCAGCCTGGGCCCGGCTATCCTCTTGATATACTTTAGGTTTTACTTGTAGCCATGAGTCTTACAAAGTCCCAAAAGGGAAACATCCACCTATACTTCCCTGTTGAAGGGAGTCCAGCATGCTCCAGCATTAAGGCCACTATCATTCACTCCCCTCACCGAGAGTCTAGCCCCAGTCCCAGTAACCTGAATAGGGAGCTAGACTTCCAGATCACAAGGAATCAAGGGACTATAGTTCACAATCAATCAAAAGGCTATGAAGCCATCTGCTATATGTAATTATTAGATGACAAGCCCAGGGTTTAGATAGAATGAATACATCGGAAATGAGATCTTGGACATTCAGGCTGTCTACACAAGCCATTTTCTATTCACCTAAAGTTGGTTTTACATTGGCTGCTTAAAAATTAAGTACCGTATTCGACGTAATAAGCGCCCAGGGCGGTCTCAAAATTTGAAATAGGGGGCTCTTATTAGAATATTATTTTGGTGAAATAAAAAGTTGAAAGATTGTAAAATCCTTGGTTTATACTGACAGCCTAAAATGTTTATATACAACAGACATAATTTTTTCAGAATTTATTTGCCCATAATTAAGGGTGCATATAACACACGACTGCGTATAATACACGAATAAATAAGTTTTGTGTACACTCATTAATCAGACGGGGTGCTAATTGGGATTATTCACTAGTCAATATATTAGTAAAATATCGCCGTGGGCGCTTATTAGAGCAGGGCGCTTATTACGTCGAATACAGTATTCCCTCATTTCCATTGTTTTGAGCGGTGTTGGTACCCTCTTAATGACACTGCTGGCTTGTTGCAAAAAGTAATCAGAGACAAGTTCTCATGAATCTTCCTGAAATCAGAAATTACTTCCAAAGACTAAAATGCACTCTCTTTATTGAAAGGGACAGCCATTACCTAACAAAAGAAAACAACTTGCCAAACTCCTTCAGGGAGCAACACTCACAGTTCATTATCTCCCACAACAAACAGTTTGACTACACAACAAACCAAATGCCATTTCATATGTCTTTTTCAAGTATTGCTTCACTTGAAGACGAAGCAAGGAAGGCACAGAAATAGACCCATTTAATGTGGAGCTCTGCCCCATCTGACACCAAATATCACAGCACTGAGGCAATCTGCCGCTCTGAGAGGAGATGTGCCTGCTGTAACGGTCTGGCAATACTCTGATAATTACCTGTCGAAAATACCTTCAGAATGGCTTCACTATACTAAGCAGCTTGTGGAATCAGTTTGTGGAGCCAATGACATTTGACATCAGTCTTGGTGGAATGGACAGCCTGGCTCCATAACATAAACCAATCTTTGTGGTATATCTGCCATAATGCCTGTTCATAATCACAGAATTATGATGGTCATGACGCTAAGATCAGTTTGCTGTAACATATTACATCATCTTCT